TCTCCCTTCCTCTCTGAAATAAAAAAATAAAAAAATAAAAATTTTTTATTCAGAGATCATCATAATCTGGCCACTCGGTGTATATCCTTATTGACCCTTCAGTCCGCAGGCCAACGCTCTATCCACTGAGCAACACCGGCTAGGGCTCTTCTGTTAAGATTTTGAGGTGTTTGAGAGGAACAGCTATTTCAACGCTGTACAATGTAGTTTAAATCTATTAGGGAATTTAATTACCCAAGTTTGTAATTGGCATTCATTTTTAGAATTTAATCTACTGAAACTGTGAGTTAATTAAATATTTATCCAAGAATAAATGAAAGTAGTTGCTCTTGTTTTTATACAAACATTAGTAGATTTATAAATAGAAGACTAGATTTACAAGTTGTATTTGCATGTGTAAGAAAAACTAGTTCTTTTCTTAATTTATAAGCTTAATAAGCAGTATTAATTTAAACACAAGCAGCAATAGGTAGCTTTTCTCTCACAAAAGCCCCTCCCTCTCCAATATTAAAATTCCTCAACTAGCCAAAACCGGTTTGGCTCAATGGATAGAGCGTCGGCTTGGGGACTGAAGGGACCCGTGTTCGATTCCGGTCAAGGGCATGTACCTTGGTTGCGGGCATATCCCCAGTAGGGGGTGTGCAAGAGGCAGCTGATGGATGACTCTCTCTCATCGATGTTTCTAGCTCTATATCTCTCTCCCTTTCTCTCTGTACAAAATCAATAAAAAAAATATATTTTTTAAAAAATTCCTCAACTAACAACACCTGGTGCTACATCCCCACCAGAAGACTTGGCATTCCACAGACCCCCACGCCTGTGTTTCTGGGGGTCCTTTGGCCTGAAATAACACCCACCCTCCCCCACACACACCTTTGGTACCCGGCAACATTTTACCTTTTCTTTCTTTTCTTTTTAAAAAAATATATTTTATTGATTTTGTACAGAGAGGAAGGGAGAGAGATAGAGAGTTAGAAACATCGATGAGAGAGCCGAAACGGGTTTGGCTCAGTGGTAGAGCGTAGGTCTGCGGACTGAAAGGTCCCAGGTTCGATTCCGGTCAAGGGCATGTACCTTGGTTGCGGGCACATCCCCGGTAGGGGGTGTGCAAGAGGAAACTGGTCGATGTTTCTCTCTCATCGATGTTTCTAGCTCTCTATCTCTCTCCCTTCCTCTCTGTAAAAAAAATCAATAAAATATATTTTTTAAAAAAAAAGCCAAAACATCGATGAGAGAGAGTCATCGATCAGCTGCCTCTTGCACACCCACTACCGGGGATGTGCCTGCAACCAAGGTACATGCCCTTGACCGAAATCTGGGACCCTTCAGTCCCCAAGCCAACATTCTATCTACTGAACCAAACCAGTTTTGGCCATTTTACCTTTTCCGTGAGGTCAGGCTGAAACTCTCTGAGGCGAGGTCCAGGGGAATCACACTTCCGTCCACATCCATGCTGATGTGTGGCCAGGCCTCTCAACTGAAACCACAAACCAAGTCCTGATCCTCGGCATGTTTTAATTTTATTTTTTATTTTTGTTAATCCTCCCCCAAGGATGTTTTTTCTTGATTTTTAGAGAGTGAGAGGGAGAGGGAGAGACGCAGAGGGAGAAACATGGATGTGTGAGAGACATACGTATCAATTGGTTGCCTCTGCACATGCTCTGGGACCAGGGCTGAGGATGGAGCCTGCAACCGATGTATGTGCCCTTCACTGGAATCGAACCCAGGACCCTTCAGTCCTCAGGCCAGTCCTCTATCCACTGAGCCAAACTAGTGAGGGCTATTTTATTTAATATAGAAAAATTTTTTTAATTAAATTATTATCTTTGTACATATTCCATTGCCCACCCCCTCCCAGACATGCCCTCCCTCCCCAGAGTTTTGTGTCCATTGGTTGTACTTATATGCATGTATATAAGTCCTTCGGTTGATCTATTATCTCCCCCAGATCTCCCTACCCTCCCTGCTGCAATTTGACAGTCTGCTTGTTGTATTTTATTTAATTTTTAAAATTGACTTTAGAGAGAGGAAAAGGGAGAGAAACATTGATTTGTTGTTCCACTTATTTCATGCATTCACTGGTTGATTCTTGATGTGCCCTGACCAGAGTTCAAACTTGGTTAACTTGGCATATCGGGATGACTGCAAAGAGAAATTAAGGTTGCAGATGGAATTCGGCAGACTTTCAATAGGAAGGTTGTCATGGTTACCCTAGTGTGTCCCAGGTAATCACAAACGTCCTTGAAAACGAACGAGGTAAGCCAGAGAGGCAGAGGGAAGGGCAGCCGTGGGAGAATGGTCAGAGGGGCACCGTCGCCTGCTTTGAAGCTGGAGGATGTGGGCGACAAGCCCAGGAATGTGCGTTGTCATTGGACGCTGGAAAAGGCAGCTTCCCAGCAAGGAACACATCCCCGCTGACACCTTGATGTTAGCCCGTGAGGCCCCTGTCAGACTTGTATCCTACAGGACTCTAAGATGACCTGCTGTTTAAGCTACTCCATTTGCAATAACTGGTACGGCAGCAACAGAAAACGAACACAGGGTCACCCACATCATGTACTGAGTAGGTGACATCTGTGCAATCACTTCCCAGACCACAGATGGGAACCACACACCTGGACCGAAGCCTGGGCCCCACCTCGCAGGCTGTGCAGATCCGGGGCCAGTCCTGCTGCTCATGTGTGCCCGGGTGGTGGGAGGTATACCGGTTAGCAGGGGCAGAACAAGCAGACAGTGTGCTAGGAGGCAAGGCCATCTTGCACGGCTGAGTTCTGAGAGAAGTGGCAGGTGGAGAGTGAGTGACCTTGGGCATGGAGGCCTGAGCACCACATCCTGATCTCACCTCACTGACCTTTCTGGGAGGGGGCACAGGCCTTGCAGGTGGTCCTGGCATGTTGGAGGCCCTTGGACCTTTCTTCCTGGCCCCTGACTTAAAAAAAAAAATTTAGCCGAAACCGGTTTGGCTCAGTGGATAGAGTGTCGGCTTGGGGACTGAAAGGTCCCGGGTTCAATTCCGGTCAAGGGCATGTACCTTGGTTGCGGGCATATCCCCAGTAGGAGGTGTGCAAGAGGCAGCTGATCGATGACTCATCGATGTTTTTAACTCTCTATCTCTCTCCCTTCCTCTCTGTATAAAATCAATAAAATATATATTTTTTAAAATTTTAAATTAACTAATTATCCCTAACGGGTGTGGCTCAGTGGATAGAGCATTGGCCTTCAGACTAAAGAGTCCCAGGTTTCAATGTGGTTATGGGCACATCTTCAGTGGGGAGCATATAGGAGGTAGCTGATCAATGTTTCTAAATCTCTCTCTCCCTCTCTGTAAAAAAATCAATAAAAATATATTTAAAAAAATAATTTAAATCTTCACCTGAGGATATTTTTCCATTGGATATTTTCCCATTGATTTTTAGAGAGAGTGGAAGACAAAGAGAAATATCAATGTGAGAGAAACACATCGATTGGCTGCCTCCAGCATGCGCCCTGATGGGAATCAAACCCGGACTCTTCAGTCAGCAGGCTGACTCTGTCCACAGAGCCACGCAGGCCCCTGACTTTTGATCTCCCCTCTCTGCCCTCACTCCCAAGGCCAACCACTGCCCTCCTCCCACTGGCATGTGTGCCAGTGATCCTCTTAAAAAAAAAAAAAAAAATATATATATATATATATATATATATATATATATATATATATATAATTTATTTTACAGAAAGGAAGGGAGAGTTAAAAACATCAATGAGAGAGAAACATAAATCAGCTGCCTCTAGCACACCCCCTACTGGGGATGTGGCTGCAACCAAGATGCAAGCTTTTGACCAGAATCGAACCGGGGACCCTTCAGTCCGCAGACGGATGCTCTGTCCACTGAGCCAAACCAGTCAGCGCCTGATCCTCTTTGAGCATGGCGCCCACAGCCTGGTCCAGGGTCATTGCCACACCCCGCGCCAGAGGCCTAAGCACTGGGGCAGGTCTGCAACTGGCTCGACCTGAATGCTGGTTATAACTTACACCTCAACAAGCTGCAAGGGGCCAGTGTACCCCAGGGGCAAAGCTGGAACTGTTATAAAAATATTCACCGAATAGTATTAGTAATATAGAAAGACATAAAAGTATGTAAAAATCCATCTTTATGGTCTTTGTAAAATACTAGGAAATATATATTTTTTTTAAATCACTCCAATTCTTCCTCGGAAAACGTCACCCAGACCTCAAGTTTCCCGCCTTCAGACCCCACTCTGTGCCCCTGCCTCCGGGCGGCTCTGGATTCCGTCCAGCCGCTCACCTGCCCGCCCCTCCCCGCCCCGACAGAGAGGAGGCGGCGCCCCGGCCCGGGAAAGTCGCTGGACGGAACCGGACGTACCTGCTCGCGTCCCCTGTCACCTCCCCAAGGGCAGCCCGACCGGGGCTCCCGGAGACTGGGTGCGGGATGGGTGCGGGGAGGGCCCAGGTGACCGCGGGGAGACCAGCCGGGGCCCTGACGTCCCGCGTGGCTGGGCCATTAGCTCCCGGAGTTCGGGCAGAGCCGGGCCGGAGCCGCGTGCAAGGCCGAGGGTGGAGTCTTCACGGACCGGAAAGCTGGCCTCGGCCGAGCAGCCCCGAGGGAGGGGGTGCGGCGCCCGCGAAGCCGGGGTGCCGGGCGGGCGGGGCCCGCGAAGCCGGGGTGCTGGGTGGGCGGGGCTCGCGGAGCCGGAGGGCGGGGTGGGCGGGGCCTGCGGAGCCGGAGGGCGGGGCCTGCGGGCCGGGGTGCCTGGCGGGCGGGGCCTGCGGAGCCGGGGTGCCGGGGCGGGTGGGGCCTGCGGAGCCGGGGTGCCGGGGCGGGCGGGGCTGGCGGGCCCCTCCGGCGTCGGGACTACAAGTTCCAGGGTGCTCCGCGCAGCACCGTCCCGGGCTGTGTCGGTCGCCCGGGCTCGTAGCGACGCCGGTTCCGGAGTAAACAAGGGGGAGTCTCCCCAGCACCGTAATCGGAGTCCAGGGGGCGGGAGCCGCGCCGCCGCTCATGTCGCTGCCCGGCCGCCTGGCCCTCCTCCGCGCCCCGGGGCGGCTCCTCCGCGCCCCGCGCCCCTGGCCCGGCCCCTCGGCGGCGGCCGCGCGGACCCGCAGCAGCGCCCTCGGCCCCCGCGCGCGGACCTCGGCGGGAGTTGGGGATCGGGGGGCGGCGGCGGGGCGGAGAGCCGGGGTGCGCACTTGGGCGCCCCTGGCCATGGCGGCGAAGGTGGACCTGAACACCTCCACCGACTGGAAGGAGGCGAAATGTAAGTGTGAGCAGAGGGGTGAGGGCGAGGCCGCCCCACGTGGGCTTCCCCGGCTGGACGGCACCCCACCGGCAGGCGCTTCCTGCGGAGCCCGGGGGAAGTTTGAGGCCCCCCAAACCCTGATCAGGACTCCCCCGTTCACAGCCACGCCTCTTCCCCCTCCCCGCCCTCCGCTTTCCGCCCCCCGCGTTCCCAGCCCCACAAATCCGTTCACCCCAGACCCGGGTCCAGGTCCCCGGTCAGGAGCGGCATGTAGAAGGTGGCCTTACCCCACTGGGATGGGTCACAGGGCACCCCAGAGATCACCCAGTTCCCCCACATTGCTCCGTTGTGCAGGAGGGAAACTGAGGCCCAGGACTTGAGCGGAGCAGCCCAAGGTCACCTGGGAGTTGGCGGCAGGGCGGACCTCAGGTTCCCGCCTCCCGGTGTTTGCATGGGATGGCTCCTCAGGTGGCACGCACGGGGGCAGGCTGAGGGGATCGCTCTGGCTGGTGTCCCACCTGGTGGGGTCACATAGCTCCAAGGAGTGGCTTCCCCGGGCCGGCCTGTCCCCCCTCACCGCCTCCCCTGGAAGGCCTGCCTCTGGGCACGTGGTCAGGTGCCCTTTCGCCCTCACCACTGGCCGCCTGCCACTTGTTAGCAGTCCCTGCCCCGCTCCTGGGGGGCACAGGGCCGAGATGGGCATTGTGTCTGAGAACAGTGAGTGACATCACCCCCACAGGACGGGCAGGCGTCCCAGAGCCGGACTGTGTCCCCCGCCCCCCTCGCACAGAGCCAGGCAGGGAGGCAGCCTGGCCTGCGGAGCCCCAAATAGCCCAGACTGCCAGCCCAGCTGCCCCTGCCCTTCAGGGTCTGCTCCCGCTGGATCCCCTTCCGAAAGGCAGGGAAAGCCGCTCATTGGCTGCGGGGCGGGAGGGCTTTGGCCAATGAGGCTGAGGAGGCAGCCCTGGCCTCGGTGGGGGTGTGGGACGAAGCCCTCTCCGGATTGGAGGTGGAGCTCAAGATGACTTACCCGCCTCCCGAGTCGCTGGGCCGCGCTGGGATCTTAAAGCGCCCGCAGAAAGCACTTGACTTTGCTTTCAGCGCTGGCCCCAGAACACCCATCAGGGCAGGGAGGGGGGCTGGACAAGTCCCCTGGCAGCGGACAGCAGACACCCCCGGCAGGGGGACTGTCCCACGGGGAGCCTGGCTTCTCCTCTGTCAGGGGCGGTAACCCAGGACGGCTAGGGAGTGCCAGGGGCCCAGCCACCAGGCTCAGATCGGCCTCAATTTTTAGGATCCAGCTCCCTGTCGCTGCCCACTCCTTGGCGCCCCTGAAAACTCCCAGATCTTCTGAAGCTTGCAGGCTGGGGTCCCTCTGCTGGGATGGCCACTCGTTCAGTCAGTCCACGTGTACCGAGTGCTTCCCATGTGCAGCGCTGTTTGGTGCTGGGGACTGAGTCACGAGTGAGACAGGGAAGGACCTGTCCTCGCGGAGCTGCTATTTTATGGGGAGGAAACTGCGTAGAGCAGCGTTTCCCAAACTTTTGGCATATGTGTACCCCTTCTATAATTTCCGTAACGCTGAGTAGCCCTCGTTCTCATGAGAACGTAGAATTAGGCGCAGCTAAGCACGGTGCAGTGCATATCCCCACCAAACTCCGGTGCAACGCGTACCCCCCCAAACTCTTCCCGTACCCCTGGGGGTACGCGTACCACACTTTGGGAAACACTGGCGTAGAGGATTGGGTCACCAATGGGGCAATGCCAGGGGAAGGTCGGAAACTGGCAGATGGGGCTGCCTGAGCTCCCGGGTCCTGTCAGGGGCGTGTGAGGAGGGCGGTCTGGGCCCAGGTACCCAGCACCAGGTGTCAGAGGGCAGCAGGGCCCTCCCTATGTTTTCGTTACCTGTTACTGCGTCACCAGCCAGTGGCTTTCACAGCGTGCATCTCACTCTGGTGGCAGGGCGTGGAGTGGCTTAGCTCAGGGTTCTAGGAGCGAGCCATTCGCTGGTGGCTCTCGCATGACATGGCTGTTGGTTCGAGGCCTCAGTTCTTCACCGGGGGCCTCCCCAGGCTGCTTGAGTGTCCCTACAGCATGGCAGCCGGCTCCCCCCAAGCAGGTGAGCCAAGAGGGAGCGAGAGGAGACCCCGCCCTGAGCCGCCGTGCCTTCGCGTGACCGGGTTTTTTCCAAGGCGGGCAGCATGCCCCTGCCTTATCCCAGGGCTTGGATCAAGTCATGGAGTCCAGCCCACACTCAAGGGAGGGGATTAGGGGTCAGGATGGGAGGAAAGAGAAGAAATAGGGAAGATGAGGAGATCCAAGACTTAGGGACTTGTGTTTAAGACCGCCACCCTGGGGGTGCTGCCTCAGCCAGACCTGCTTCTGGCTGGGGTCCCAGCTTGGGTCCCTGAAGACCCCACACCTTTTCTGTGTTACTTCAGTTTGCACCGGGCAGAGCTCAGTGAGACCAAGTGGACGACCTGCAGTGTACTGCCAGCGCCAGTGTGCCCGTATCCGGCCGGGCCCTCAGGCTGGTGGACGGGTAGAACACTGCCCTCACTCCAGAAGGTTCCTCTGAGACCCTTTCCCATTGATACCCTCCAAGGCTGGTTACCTCTGTCTGTTAGTCTCTGCTTGGCCCTCATAGAAACAGAGGCACACAGCGTGCCCGTGCCTTCTGCTTCCCATCTGCGATTCGTCCCTGTTCCTGGCGGTCGGCAGCGCGCTCTCTTTTGACGGCTGTGTGATAGTCCATGTGTGGCTGCACCAGTTTGTGTCCCATCCACAGGAGGGTGTGGGTGTTGGGAATGACGCTGTGTCCCGTATTCACGTACGTGTCTCTGACGGACATGAGCTCTCCCTTCTCTTGGGGACATACCTGCCAGGCCTCCACGTGCCCGTCCGTGCCTGAGATGATCCTCTCTCAACCACTGTGCACAGCCCTGGGCAGTGTGGCTCAGTGGTTGGGCATTGTCTTGTGCACCAAAAGGTTGCCGGTTTGATTCCCTGTCAGGGCACAGGCCTGGGTTTTGGATCGATCCCTGGTAGGGGGCGTGCAGGAGGCAGCCAATCAATGCTTCTCTCTCTCTCCTTCTCCCGTCCTTTCTCTCTAAAAGTCAATAAACTATATATGTGTGTGTGTATATATATATATATATATATATATATATATATATATATATATACCTTTTAAATAAAAGCAGTTAAAAAAGACTGGTGCACAGTAACCAAACTACTGACAAGATACTGATGCCTAGGTCAGAAGGGTGATGTCTAGTTCAAGGTGGGAAGTCTAGCAGGAGGTGCGGAGAGCCATGGGCCTGGCCCTGGATGAGCCGCTCTCCCTGGGAAAGCCGGTGGAAGCCAGACCGTCGTCCTAGTTCGCGCAGCAGCAGAGGTTCTGACTGGGAGCTGGCGGGGTGGTTTTGAAAGCCACCCTCTGCCCCAGGCCGGCCGGGCAGGCTTCCCTGCCCCGGGCGCTCGTTCCGGGGGGTGGTCTGTGTGAGGCTACTGCCCGCTCTGGGCCCCGTGCGGACGCCCAGCCCCACGGCCAGTGAGTCCTCTGGGACATGGCTGAGCTCTGCCTCCCCTGGCATTCCCTTCCTCTCCCTTCAGGGGAGCTGCCCGCTTCCCGGGGCCCCTTCTCCTCGGTCGTGCGGGGCCTCGGGCTGGGGCTTCCTGAGGAGGACACGTTCCGTCTTCTGGGGCGGCTACTGCAGCTTCTGATGACAGTGGCCAGGGTTCCTCTCTCTGATTCAGTCCCCTCATTGTTCCCCCGGTGGTGCCTGCCCACCAGGAAAGTGTGCAGGGAGGCAGGGGGTGGGAAGGGACTCAAGGTCAGGCCCTGAGGGTATCTGGGACTGGCACCACGGGAGGGCGAGGCCTCCAGGAGAGGGCCCCTGACCTGCAGGGGGGCCGCGCTGTGTGCTCAAAGAGACCGGGCCAGCCCAGCCCCTGCTTCCAGGCTCTCCGAGCCTCAGTTTCCTCATCTGTGAAATAGGACCAGCACCTGACCTACAGGCTTGGTAGGTTGCACTGGGATGACATCAGAACCGTTTATACACAGCGGCCCACACACTGCACAGGGGTCCCCTCTCTGCTCTCTGCTGTGCTGGCCACGGAGACGCTGGGCTTGAGCACCCCTGTCCCTGCCAGGCGGCCACAGGCTGGGGCTTGACCCGCATGTCCTGAGTCACACTTCCGCTCCCTGGGGCTCCGGAAAGCATGCGTGTTCCAGCCTGTGTGCATGCGTGTTCCAGCCTGTGTGCGGGGTGGGGGGGGGTGAGGGCTCGTTCCTGCCCCGCGGCGTTCCCTCCAGATCTGGTGATTTATCGGATGCGCCTGATGAACCGGGGAACGTTCCGGGCGCACCTGGGACGGGGGCCTCCTCCCATCTGTCTCACCTGGGACGGGGGCCTCCTCCCATCTGTCTCCTGAGGATGTCGCCTTGACACATCGGTGCGGTGGGGGCAGAGAAGCGGGGGGGGGGGGGTGAGCCCAGCTCAGCCTGCCCACCTGGCTTCTCCCCAGAGGAGCCCCACGCCAGCCGCCCCCATTTCTGAACCCCGGCTCCCAGCCGTAAAGGCTTCTTAAAACACATCGCTGATCCCCGCTCGCCCGCTGCACTTTATGGTCCTGGCGCAGCCTCTTCCTCCCGCGCAGCCCGCGCCCGGAGCTCTGCCTGGGTCAGGCCTCCCATCAAAATTTACGGCGAACATCTTCTACAACACCTGTCTCACTGGGCCGTGAAATCCTCTCTCCCTCTCCGAAACCGAGAGAAAATTAAAACCCGTGCTGTACATCTTTTATAAGAAAAATAAAACTCACTTGTGCTTCAAGTCTGCATCTGTCTTTCGGGCAAAGGGAGGCGGGAGATGTTGTAAATGTGTGGGCCCGTGTCCCGCCGAAGGGCCCGCCTCTCTCGGGGCGCCTGGCGGGAAGTGGGGGGTGACCAGGGCCAGGCCCAGACTTGGGGTTGAGGTGCGTGCTTGGGGGCCACGGACTGGAGGGACAGGCTGACACGTCCCTCCTGGCACCCAGCGCTGGTGGCAGAGCTGGGAGCTCTGGTTGTCTTCCTCTGTCGTCTCTGAGAAGTGGGGCGTCTGTTGGACTTTGCTGGAGAGGGGCTGTTCAGGCCGCGGTCACTCAGATGAAGCCATGGGGAGGGAGAGGGATGGGGGGAGGTGGTGAGGTGAGGGGGCAGGAGAGAGTGAGCGCTGGGCTGTATCCGGCCCAGGCCTGCCTACGGCTGGGCAAGGCTCTGCTTTTCTGAAAGGCGGGTGCTGTCATCTGCCAGGTGGTGGCGGCTAGGGGGCCTGAGCCACCCCTGGGCCACCCCAGCCAGAGGGCCTCAGCTCACTGTCCTGTGGGCTCAATCTGGGCCCCAGCTGCCCAGTCTCCATGTCACACAGATGCGTCCCCTCTGGCCCCGGTGCAGCTGGCTGGGAGCCCCGCAGTGGGGCGGTGCCAGGCCTCAGAGGGGGAGTCTTTGGTCACAGTTGGGCAAGATGACAAACATGGGGACCGAATCATTTAAAAAACTCCTCTTCCCACTGTGCTCCGAGTTGAAGATAATCCCCCCAAACCGTGTCTTGTTTTGCTCCTTTGAGTCTCCCTCGCTGGGGCAGGGGTGCGTGCCCGAGGTGCAGGCTGCGTGTGACAGCTCACAGCGTGCTCCCCGCCAGCTCTCAGCACAGCCAGCCGGCTCCAGGAGGCTGCGTGGCCCATTCTAGAGATGAGAAGACTGAGGCGCAGGGAGGCTGGGGGATGCCCAGGAACGTGGAGCCGGGCATGGCGGGCGTAGGCCTGTGGGCCGAGGGGCAGGAACACACAGCAGCGGCCACCCGGCCAGCCTGCCCGGTGCGCCCTCTGCCTCGGCGGAGCCTTTGTTTCCAGCCCAGCTGCCCTGGCTCCCTCTCCCTCTCTCCGCCCAGCTCCCTCCGACCTCAGGGCGTGGGCACACGCTGTTCCATCCGCCGAAGACTGGTGACCCATGGTGACCCATGCTGTTCCCTCTGAGACACCCTGCCCTCCACCTCCAGGTCTCCGCTTGCCCGCTCCCTGATTCCGGCCACGGTACTCACACGTGCTGTGCCCTGTGCCAGGTGGTGGGGATCCTGAGTACAGCGGGCAGACCCGGTGTGGCCAAGGTCAAGAGAGAAGCCAAGTGCAGTCAGGGAAGGACTGCTATGGGGGGAGGGCAGGGAGGAGGGAGGCCAGGCGGGGGCACAGCCGGCTCAAAGGCCCTGAGGCCGGGCACAGCCTGGCGGTGGAGGAACGCCAAGGTGACCTGCTTGGCTGCCTGGCTGAGGGGGGAGGAGGGGAAGGGCAGAAGGGAGTGTAGGGGCAGGTGGCACAGGAGGAGGCTGGGGAGAGAGGCAGGCCTGGTACTTGGCCATGGTCAGGACGTGGTGTTTGAAAGCAGCTTTAGCAGAGCGATGGCTTCCGGCATGTTCTAAGCTCCCCGGGCTGCTGTGTGAGGAGCCGAGGGTCGGATGGACGTGGGGACGGGGAGTCGCCGGGAGTTGGGGGCTTTGGAGGGCTCTAGGGAGCGATGATGGAGGCTTGGCGCTGGCAGGGTGAGCAGATGGCCTGGTTTCGGGGGGGACGGCCTGGTTTCGGGGGGGACGGCTTGGTTTCGGGGGGACGGTGGGGTAAGTCTGACAGCCCAGAAGATGCTGAGGGGCTGAAGCGTAAAGAAGGGTGTTGATGGTATGGCATTGCCAGGTCGACCTAGGGAGGGTGTGGATGGAGGAGGAGGGAGAAGGGGACCAGAGAGCCAGGCGGGTCCAGGAGAGGGGCTTCCTGATGGGACGAAGGGGCTGGAGGTGCTGAGTGAACAGGGAGGACAGGAGGGGCCACTGCACTGGGCCATGCGGCCCATGGTGTCTCTGACCTTGGCCTTGATGGAGAGGTGGGGCCTGGCCTTCCCGGGTTGGAGGAGCATGGGAGGGGGGAAGTGTGGACAGTGGAGGGGGGCAGGGAAACGAAGCCCCAGCCGTGGGGCGTGGAAGGTGGGGTCGGGGAGGGTTTTGTTTTAAAGACGGAACGGCAGAGGGTGTGGAGGGAGCTCAGAGCTCGTCCTCCGGAAGGTGAGCGGTGGCTCGCTGGGAGGAAGGACCTTCACGCCCAGTGACTGAAGGAGGACGAGGTGTGGGCAGGGAGCGGGGAGAGGGTGCTCGCTGCTTGGTGGGGGGAGGAGGCAGCATCTGAGGCTGGAGGACGAGTGGGGGAGGCTGGGGAGAGGGAGATGGAAGAGGGGCACCCACTGCAGCAGCAGCACCTGGATGGGCTGGAAGACAGGCCACCAGGGGGAGGTCAAGAGTTTATGTATTTATTTTTAAAATATATTTTTATTGATTTCCTAGAGAGGAAGGGGGAGGAGAGGGCGAGACAGAAACATCAGTGATGGGAGAGAACCATTGGTCGGCTGCCTCCTGCCCGCCCACACTGGGGATGGAGCCCGCACCCCTGAACATGCTGCCCCTGTTCAGGAACCCCTTCCCGCCCAGGCCGCCCCCCAGTGTCTCTCAGGTCCCCCGGGCTGGGGTCCGGCTCCCTGTGCCAGCCCCTGAGCCTTCCCCGCCCGCCTGGACGGCTTGCTGGTGCTGAGCCGGTTGGCCTGGCTCCCAGGCCGGATTGTGGGTCCTCCAGGGCCATGTCTGCCTTGCTGACTGTTGTGTCTCCCCCTCACCCCCCCCCCCCCCCCCCGCATTCAGGACCTGCACTTCGTAGGCGTCTGGAAGGGTGGGGCGTGGCTGCCAGAAAGCGGGGTTCTGGTTGGAGCCACGGGTGCAATGAGCCTTTTGTAGTCGCCCCACCTTCGCGCTGAGCGGGCCACGACCTGGGGCCTGTGTCCTTGAGGAGCCGAGCCTCGGAGGCACCCAGGGAGCTGGGCAGGAAAGGGCACCCCAGGGCCAACCTGAATCTTGAATACCTGCCCCTCGCAGCCATCTCCCGGAAGGCTCGGAGGCACCCCTTCCTCTCCCACCACTTTCTCTAAGGGCCCTCCCACCTCTGCACACTTCCTGGTGCTTTCTGGTCCCATGTCTGTGCCTTTTGCTGGTTATTACCCTCTCCACTCCCCCACGGTCAGTGGGGACTGCCCCAGCCGCGGAGTGCGTGGTCCAGGGCAGCGAGGCCGGGCTGAGCACCTGGGTGCCGCGTGGCCTCGGGCCAGCAGGGGGAGCTCACAAGCCATGAGCCTGGACCGCGGCTCAGGAGCGCCGGCTGCTTCTGAGGGCGCTCTGAGCTCCTTCCTCTGCCCGGTGCCGCCCAAAGGGGGCGCCAGGCTCAGAGCCAGGGCCGCAGCGGGGAAGGCGGCCCAGCAGGCACCTGTCGGGGCGGCCTCGGCCGGTGCTGAGGGGCTGCTGTAACGGGCAGCAGGCTGCTCGGCGCTGTGGCTCTTGGAGGAGGGAGGTTGTCTTGGCTCCCGTGATGAGCCTACACATCACGACCACGATGATGTCTGTGGATCATGCAACTGATTGCTAATGAGACCACTAATGCCGTAACTGATTGATCATGTAACTGACTGATCACTTAATGGACTGATAATGTAATCGATGGATGAGGTAGCTGACTGATAATGTAATTGATTCCTTGTCACCCACCTGCTTGGCCTTAGCATGGGTAAGCTTGAAATTATTCTGCAAGAGGCGCCTTCATCCCCACCCTCTACAGGAAGAAATTAGGGGCCTGGGGCTATGGGCGCGGCGGGAGAGTGGCCGAGGTGACCTCTGGCCTCTGGCCTGTGGTGCTGGGGCCTCAGTTTCCCCTCCTGGACAAAGGGGGCAGGGCAGAGGTTCCAGCAGCCTCCCGGTGGAGCCGTGGGGAGAACGGGCTCCCAGGGCTGGTTTGCATCCTTGGACGAGGGGAGAGTCCCGAGACCCGTGTGTGTGGGGGGGAGTCCCCAGGTCTGCCCCCCTCCCTGCCTGCCTGACTCTCCTTCCCGCTGCCCCGCCCGCCCACAGCGTTCCTGAAGGGCCTGAGCGACAAGCAGCGGGAGGAGCACTACTTCTGCCAGGACTTCATCCGGCTCAAGAAGGTCCCCACCTGGAAGGAGACAGCGAAAGGTAGGCCCTGCCGGCCCGGGCGGGAGGCCCCTGCAGGCCACGCCTCGGGGGAACCTTCCAGAGGAGGCCAAAGGGGATGAGCGGGTAGTGAGTGCCTACTGTGTGCAGGGCATGGGGCCTGCGTCTCCTCATTAAATGAGCGGCTTTTACCCTGTGACATTGCCCGGAGCTGCGCCCAGGCCCGCCCTCCCCAGGCCGCTGAGCCAGGGTTGGTGGCTGTGGTAGCGTGGCTTGCTGGGCGTGTGCTGGTGCGCGCCCAGGCCCCGCACGTGGTAGCACTGGTAACTGGGAACCTGGGCAAGTCACCTCACCCCCCAGGCCCCCGGCATCGCTGTAGGTTCAGGACTGGTGTGTGCTGCTCACAGTAGGCGCTTAGTGTGGGCGGCCCTTCCAGTGTTTGCAGTTTGGAGGGCATTGCCCGGGCGCCGGCCTGTGGCACTCCCGCAGCCTCTGCTTGCTCCAGGGCTGGCCGTGAAGGCGGAGGAGAAGGAGCCCAAGTACAAGAAGGACAAGCACCTCAACGAGAAGATCTCCCTGTTCCGCGGCGACATCACCAAGCTAGAGGTGGACGCCATCGTCAACGCCGGTGAGTGGAGGCCTGGCCGCTGGTCCCCTTCGCCCCGGCCCGCCACGCCCGCACGGGGGCGCCACCGGCTCCGGCGCGGCTCGGTGGCCCGCGGAGCGGCCTGCTGGCGCCACGGGAGCCGGAGTGCCGGCTGAGCGGATGCCTGACCCCGGTGTCAGGGCGCCCGGGCTGCGCTGCCTCGCGGTGGCCGGAGACCATTAGCGGCCGGGGAGGGAGCCTGGCTGGCAGCGCGCCGGGCTGGGCTGCGGCCGCCCTTCCCGGAAGGCGGTGCCCTGACCTCCGCTTCCTTCCTCCCCGCCTGCCGCCGCCGTCAGACCGGAGCGGGCGGAGCAGGAGGAGGGGCAGCGCGGTGACTGCTGGCGCGGCAGTTTATTGTGATGAGTCCGCGGCCCGGTCCCTGGGGGTGGGGGGGCGCTCTCCAGGCAGCGGCTGTCTGGCCAAGGTCAGAGCAGGGTCAAGTCCAGGTGTGTGTGTGTGTGTGTGTGTGTGGGGGGGGGGGGGGTTACCAGCCCTCACTTCCTTGCTCGTAGGACATCTCAGCAGGGAGCCCCTGTCCTAGAGCCAGGTTTGGGGACCCGGGCAGACTCCCGGGGAACCCCGCAGTCTCCGCACCCCCAGAAGCATCTCCTTCCCCCTTCCTCTCGCCCGTGGGCTTGTGTCTGACGCCAGGGCTGGCCAGGGAGGGGGCCGTCAGCGGATCCGGGGCGGGGCAGTGCCGGTGCTGACCTGGCTCAGGGCCCAGGCTGCCGGGGCCTGCTTGCCTGTGGTCTGGCTGCGTTTCCGGCAGCGGCCTCGTTCCGTGTGATCCCCGCTGGGTGTCGGCGGGACCGTGCAGCCCCGAGGGTGTTCCTGCCCCCGGGCTCCGGCCTCGTGCACAGGTGACAGGCACGCAAGGTCTGACGCGGAGCGGCAGCAGCCTGGGTCACCTCCCGTTTCCTTTGCTGCGTCTGCTCTTTCCCGGGCCCCCGGGTGGCCACGGGGTCTGTGAGCCCATCTGGGGGGAGTGGCTGAGACACGCCACGCTGGGCTGGCAGATGCCACCGCAGCCCCGAGGAGAAGGGCGTTCTTGCCGCCTCGACCCAGGAGGGCTTGGCTGGGGCGGAGGGGGCGGTCCCACAGGCCCAGGGGGCTGCCCTGCCCAGTGTCCCTGCCCCGTCAGTCCCTGGCAAGGGTGAGGGAGGCCCCCTGCAGGCACTTGCCATGCTGAGCAGCAGAGCGGCGGGAGGGGAGAGGGGGGCAGCTGAGTGGGTGGTTGGGGGGCCGGGCGGGAGGGTGGGGGGACCAGGAGGGGTGTCGGCAGGTACAGATGGAGCGGCCGGGGCTCCGGAGGCTGCGGCGTGATTAATGGCCCTTCCCCGGTGCCCCGAGCCTGCCAGCCTCGGAGCCCAGCGGCGCTGGCAGCCTCTCCCTCAGAGCGCACTCGGCCCTGGCTGCATCCGAGCGCCGGGCTGGGTGGCAGCGTCTGCGCCCCTCTGAGGCCCCCTTTCCTCCGTGCCCGCCTGGGCCCCCGTTTCCTCCTTGGCTGGCGCGGGGGCAGAGAACCCGGCTGTGGGGCACGGGGGCCATGAGGCGCTGATCTCACCAGCTGTGGTGCACACGCTGCGCCGGGCACGAGCCGAGAGCCCCTGCCGCTGCCGCTGCCACGATGCCACGCCGTGCCTCCGGCGTTGGCCCCAACCCGGCGACGGAGGGGTGCTGGGTGCCTCCCGCAGAGGAGCAGCCTTCTCCTCCCTCCGCCGGCCTCAGTTTACCCAGCACCCTTGGCGGGTGTTCCTGGGACCTCCTTATTTCTAGAGAGAGCCTCACCGCAGGGAGAACCGGACCTGCCCGGAGCCCCGGGAGCCGCTGAGGCGGCCCCCGGACGCAGGGGCCCACACCCTTCAGGGGAGCGCGCACCCCTCCAGCCCTGGTCCAGGCGTTTGCCAGCCCTGTGTTTGGGTGGCCGTTCACTGGTGAGACCTCAGGGGCCTCACCCTGGGGGGCCTGCCTCCCGCCTCATCCCCGGGGCCCCCATGCCCACCGCCAGGGGCAGCAGAGATGGCGGTCCCCAGGCCCAGCGGCCGTCAGTCAGCCTGTTTGTTGGCGGAGGGAGGAGCGGGCGGAGGGGATTTCCGGGCGGCATAAATCTGCCCGCGCCTCAAGGAGCCCATATGTGCTTAATTCACATGTGAAGCTGCGAGCGGGAAGAGCGCGCGTGTCCATTAAATTCCATCTGACTTGATTGTAATCATCAGCCGTGAATAATTGCCTCTCCCCGGACCGAGGAGCCACCACCACCGGGTGGGGATGCCCACGTGTCCAGCGCTGAAGCCAAGGGCGATGTGGGCCTCGTGGGGGGGGGGGCGGTGGCCCCCGGGGACTGGCGGGGGTTGGCCTGGGCTGGAGCTCACGGTCAGTAGCAGGGCTTCTGGGTTTGGGGTGTCTCTCTTTGTCCCCGTGGTCAGAATGGGGATGGGGAAGGCGCCATGGCGGCCTGGGCTTTGCTCCAGTTGCAGGGACCGCGGAGGGGGAGGCATGGGGAGTTGGGAGGGGCCTGAGAAAGAAAGTACCTGTGCCCAGCATCGCCGTAGAGGGTTGGGGCCCCCCAAACCCTCTCCATCCTGAAGAGCCTGGGGCCAGGGGAGAACCCCGAGGGCAGGAGCCAGGGGCTCTCCCTGCCTGTGTATCTCCCTCCTCCCTGCCCCGGCCTCTTAGGACTTTGGGGGGTGGCAGGGCTCGAGGCCACAGGGCGGGACCCAACCCCACGCCCCCAGAGCCAGTGCAGACCCCCCTGGACCCCCTCAGTGCTGGCCAAGGCCCCCGCACCCCAGCAGCCCGGAGGGCCGTAGGCCCCGCCATCTGTGCCGGCCACGGCGCTGCCCACGGGGCTCGCCGCATCCACCTTAATTGAATTGGGCTGCCGTGCCGGCGAGACAAGCCAGGGAGCCCCGCTCTGGAGCGGAGGTTCCGGGGGGCAGGGTCTGGCCTGCGACCCCCAGGCTGTGTCTGGGGAGAGCCAGGCCTGGCAGCTTTTCCAGTTCTGGGTCTGCACCCGGGGTGGTTCGGCTTCTGGAGAATGAATGTGTCTTGTCTTTGCCATGCTGGGGGGGTGGGAAGGTCATGACCTTGACCGGGTCGTCTCCATGCCCTTGGGGTTCCCAGCATTCCCCTAGTTCCTGACAGGCAGCGGAGGAAGTCCCGCACAAAGACGACCCCATTCCGGCCAGCCAGGCAGCTCGGCTCCGGCCTCAGGCGTAAGGGGAGGCGCTTTGTGCAAAGACAGGAGAGCCTGTGGGTCGGCCGGGCACAGCGGCCAGGAGGTGGGTCCGAATCCCAGCGTGCCTGCTGGCCTTCCGGGCGGACAAGCCGTCCGTCGGAGCCTCTGTTTCCTCATCGTTGGCTCCACGCGTGCGGCGTGAGGAGGACGTGGGCTCAGGCTGGTCCAGGGCGGGGCCCAGGCCCGGCACCTGGGAGCCGTCCGGACACTATGGAGGGGAAGCCAAGAGCAGGAGCGGCTAAGGAGGACCTAATGGGACAAAGCGATGGACACCGGGGTGACACGGAGAGCCCCGACGCGCAGGGACCCGTCAATCCCGCCATCAATCCCGCCGGGAGGCAGCAGGAGGGGAGGCGGGTCGGAGGCCTCGGTGGGTAAACGGCCTGTGGGCGGGTGGATGGCCTGTGGGCGGGCGGATGGACGGCCTGTGGGCGTGCGGCCGGCCTGTGGGCGTGCGGCCGGTCACAGCCACAGCTGGCCTGGCCGCCTAGGGGTGAAAACCGCTTATTTGCTTAGAACGAGGCGTGAAGTGGCCTCCGCTTCCCGAAGTCCTGGGGCTTTGATTTGTGGTCTGCCAGCCCAGCGTCTCTGCCCTCCCGCAGCCAAGCCAGCAGCCAAGCCAGCCGAGCGGCGGCTCATCCCTCTGCGCCCACAGGGCCCGAGCTCCCCCCCCCCCCCCTGTCCCTGGCCGCCGCTCTGAGCAGTGATTTAGAGACCGCCTTGATGGACTAGCAAGCAGGGGCCGGGGACGCCGGCTGCCTTGTGGGAAGCGATCTGACGCTAAACTGTCACCGTAAATCGCTTTATCTGTCACTTCAGATTTAAATGTGTTTGCAGAGGCTCCTCCACCGCCCGCGGCTGCGTCCTCTCTGCAGCGGCAGGGCGGGCGGGGGATGGCGGGCGGGGGACGGCGGGCGGCGGGCGGGGGCAGGTGGGCAGCGGCCCATCCTGCTGGGCCCCGTCCCCCGGGGGGCAGGGTGAGGACCGGCCTTCCTTGGCGCTGACCCCTCAGTGCCCACCTGAGGCGGCTGTCAGGCAGGCGGGACGGTGCGCCCCATTTTCCGTGATCAGACCGAGGCCCCAGCTTGGAACCTGAGCTCACGTGTGGCCTTCCCTCTTCCACGGACACACGTGGTGGGCCTGAGTACCAGGCACGAGGGAGGGCCCTGGGCTACGTCCAAAGTTTGGGGTAGGACCTGTGAATGGCAGGGAGCAGCAATGTCTATGAGGGATGGGAGTCCTGCCTGGGGCAGGGGGCAATCAGGAAGGCTGCCTGGAGGAGGAGGCACTCAAGCCCGGAAGGGGGGAAGCCGAGTCGGACGTTGCCAAGGGCACTCTGAGGGCGGAGGAGCATGCTGGCCGGAGGGGGAAAGGGGGTAGGGCTGAGAAGCTCTGAGGTCTTGGGGTGAGCGAGGGCGCGTCCCGGGCTCAGGGTCTCCCTCCGGGTCTCGGCGGTATCCACCCCCAGGCCACCGCTCCTGGACTCCCGGGGCTACACCAGCCCACGGAGCTCAGAGAGTGAAGCCCGTGCTTACGGACTCACAGCTAACCAGCAGCAGTGAGTTCTCCAGAGCCTCAGCCTCCGGGAAACCCTTGTTTCGGAAGGTGGTGGGGGTATTCCGGTTGAAAAGCCGGTCCCCGGAGTGGGTGTGTGGCCGTCTGTCCCGCTGCAGGGGGCGGGGAGCGGGCAGGTTGGTGAGCAGGTGGCCCCTGCAGAGAGGGCGGGACCACCTCTGGGCGCAGG